CAGATCCTTCTCTTGTTACTGCTCCCCTCCAGGTCCAGACCTTTTGCCTGATCCTGCTTCCCACCCGATCCAGATCATGATTTTGCTCCTAATACTGCTCCCACTCCAGATCCACTTCTAAACCCTTCTCCTGATCCATTCCCAGCTTAAGTTTCTGTTCTGGAATCCTCCCATCTACCACCATTTCACTTCTTTGCACCTACCCACTTACTGATATATTGGACTACCAGATATCTGACTTGGCTTTCCTACATGGAGATCTGCTCTCGGATCATCTTATTCTATACGGGCACATTTAGCCCTCTCTGATATCAAGAAATGCACAGGAACTTGAGTGAATTTAAGAGGTTAATCTGCATAAAACCACTCCAACCATATCTTACATCTTATTTGTAGGAAGAAGGATTGAGCCTCTGCCTCTTTGTAAATTATTGGGCATTGATAAATATTAAAAATGGCTATCCATTAATCTTTGAAATTTCAGACCAAGTGAAGGATGTTCTTACTGTAAAGACAGCTTTCTGCAACTATTGATGATTTTTCTTTTCCTAATATCTCAATTGGGGTAATGTAGACTTCTGTTATTGAACAAGTCATATTGTTCCCTATTTATATGTATATAATGTTAGCAAATCCCCCTTTAAGTCACCTTGTTGAATACTTTCAACTTTCTTGTTTTTCTTCAGATTTAAGTTCTCCATTCCCCTTATTTCTTTTATGGACTTACAGAAAAAAAAAGCAAAAGAAACATCAGGTAGGTTTGAATAGTGGGTAAATGTATGACGGAGCTCCTGTACTCCAAATGAGTACTTCAGGCAAAGTTTCCCAAAAACTGGATTAGAATTGCAGAAGTGATTATAGCGGTTCCCCAAACATCAGCAGAGACTTGACGAAGAGGTAAAAATGACACACTTTATTGGCACAGCCAGCACATATTTATAGCAATATTCCTAACAGGGTGCCTCTGTGTCTGTGGGATAACTCCATTAACTAGGATGATTTAATTAACTTCCAGACAACAGGATGCCGTACAGCGGTAACACCAAAACACAGGTTTTCCCACACACAATGACATATTATACATCCCCGGACAACGCTAAGGTAAAATGTCCAAAAAGCGATCCGATCCTTCGCAGAGCTCCTACCAGGTAAGTGCCAGTCAAAAGGAATAAGTCTCTCCGACTCCGCAGAAGGGGGCTCCCCCTAAGTTTCAATGTTTTTCGTTAGTACTCCACCTTCTCTACCTTCCCACCAATTAGCACACTCCTGGTTCCTCGTGGGCAGAAGCGACTTAAGATGCAAATTGTATCAGGTAGCCACCATGGTCTCTATCCAGGTTAGAGTGCAAGATGGACGGCACGCATTTCCTGCTGGTGTAGTTGCGGTTATCTCGCGGCTATCACTCCCCCAACAGAGTGAAAACAGAGTGCTCTGTTACATGTAATGTATTAACACAGGGGAGAAGAGAAGGTAGGCAATTAAGCTCTTTTCTTTTCCTTTCCTTTTCCTGTAAAGATGTTTATAACTGATTAAATGATTGATTCACTTTGCCTCACTTTCTACAGCAGGTGATTGGTTAGACTTGGTAAACACAGTTACCTACATAATAACAGGATTTTCTGGGATCAAGAAATGTGCTATATGTCTTTCCAATAACCTCTCCCTAATATTTTTTATATTTGAATTGTACTATTAAAGAGTAGGCCTACTTTATTAACTCTCTCTGTTATACGGAGTTACAGAATTCAGAATTATGGTCATTTTTTTTCTTACTCTCATCTTTAATTCTTTAAATGCTGCATCTTTGTAAGGTGCCACTTTTTGATATAACTTCCTCGTTCCTCTTTATTTCATTAAAATAGCTTTGCATGTGTTACAATAATTCTTGTCTGAGGTCAACCAAGTGTAACTGGGTTCCAAGACTAATGGTGACTCTAATATCTGTGTCCGTATCTAATCTTTTACTCTTCCAGGTGTGTTTACACACTCCTCCAGTTGGGTTTAGACTGTGACTACATGACAGTGATTATTGTCTACAAAAATGTGGTCAGACCAAAACCATATCAATTCTGAAGAAAGGTGGCACTTAGAATGAAAAGTATACTCTATTTTGGAAACTGAGTGTTCTGAACATATCATATAACATTTTTCTACATTAATTCCTGAGATTTCCATGTTTGATATACTTTGTATATTTTGTTATTGCCGACACAATGTAAGTACCCATGCAGTATTAATTTATTTTGTCCCTACCTTGTCCTGGAAAAAACACTTTTATTTATTGCTTATTTGTTTATTGTGAGAATAGCTATTTGCCAAGACCCATGAGTACAGTCAACCCAATTCCAACTTAATAATATTAGCACATTTGATATAATAATACCATTAATAACAAAAACACAACACAATTGAAGGGAGGGGGGGTCCCTGCACCTTTGATTTAGTTTTATGCATGGACGGACAATTTCTTACCTTTCAATTATCAGATCAGCCTAGTGTACTTGGATAGATGACCTTTGTATTATGTTGTTGTTGTTTAGTCGTTCAGTCGTGTCCCATTCTCCATGACCATATGGACCATAGCACGCCAGGTACATCTGTCAGTCACTGCCCCTCTGAGTTCCAACAACTTAATGTTCGGGGCTTCAGTGACCTCATCTATCCATCTACGTCTCTGTCGTCCCCTTCTTCGTGTGCCTTCAATCTTTCCCAGCATCAGAGTCTTCTCTAGACAATCCTGCCTTCTCATTATTTGGCCAAAATATTTGAGCTTCAGCCTCATGATCATAGCTTCCAGTGAACAGTTTGTCTGGATTTCCTGTAGTACGGATTTATTGGATCTTCTTCCAAGGGATTCTAAGCAGTTTTCACCAACACCACAGTTCAAAGGCATCAATTCTACGACGCTCAGCCTTCTTTATAGTCCAGCTCTCACATCCGTATGTTACTACTGGGTATACCATATTTCTGACTATGTGGACCTTTGTTGATAGTGTATTATCTTTAGTTTTTACCAGCTTGTCCAAGCTTGCCATACCTCTCCTCCCCAGAAGCAAACGTATTTTAATTTCATGACTACAGTCACCATCTGAAGAGATCTTGGATCCCAGGAAAATAAAATCTGTCACTGCCTCCCCTTCTTCCCCATCTATTTGCCATGAACTAAGATTGCTGTTTGCCATGATCTTAGTCTTTTTAACATTAAGCAGCGAGCCTGCTTTTGCACTCTCCTCTTTTACCCTCATCAACAGGTCCTTTAGTTCTCAATCACTTTCAGCCATCAGAGTAGTATCATCCGCGTATCTGAGGTTGTTGATATTTCTTCCAGAAATATTGATTCCAGCTTTGGATTAATCCAGCCCAGCCTTACATATTATGTATTCCGCATATAAGTTGAATAAATAAGGTGACAATGTACAACCTTGTCGCACTCCTTTGCAGATCTTGAACCATTCTGTTGTCCCATGTTCGGTTCTGCCTGCGGCTTCTTGGTCCACATACAGATTCCTCAGGAGGCGGATGAGATGATCTGGTACTCCCATCTCTTTAAGAACTTGCCACAAGATGTTGTGATCCACACAGTCAAAGGCTTTAAAATAGTCTATGAAGCAGAAGTAGATGTTTTTTCTGGAACTCAATGGCTTTCTCTATTATCCATCGTACATTCTTAATTTGATCTCTTGTGCCTCGTCACCACAAGAGTGCCTTTGGAATAAGACATCTAATTGGGAGATACCCTTAAGAGGAGACGTGCCTACTATTTATTTACATCTTGTGAGTGCTCTCCCTCCCCTCCCTCTTGCGTAGATTTGTAACTGTGTTACACGATTTTGTGTTTTTCTTTTTCTTTAGAAAATGTATTTCTATTAATGTATTAATAATTAATGTATTTTATAAATTTTATATATTATATATACACAGGGCTTTTTTTTTTTAATATATGTTTTCACATAGATGTGGGCATACATAATGTTTTCTTGTTTGTGTTTATAGGGTGTTAGTGAGACACCTTTGGTTAGCTCTTTGTTTTATACTGAGTGAATTCGTGAGTTCCTTGTATTAATCCACCCTGATGAGGCTGTTTTGACAGAACTCTGCCTGTAGTTTTGGGAGCACTTGCTATAAGCCGTTATGAGAACAAGAGGCTGCCAAGCCACCATATTACCTTTGGTAAGGCGAATGTTAGACCTAATACCCCTTGATCATACTAACAGCTTAGACACTACAGTCAGTCTCTAATGTGCTCTGAATGCAGCACATTTTAATTAGCTTTGCCAGAAATGACCATGGAATCAGGTGCCATCAAAAACGTATCAACAGAAACCAACAAGGAACAAAAGCTGATGGCAATTGTATTCCTGGAAACCAACATGAAATTGGATACCATCACAAATGTACCCAAGAAGCCAACATTGAACCAACATTGAACCATGTACCATCACAAATAAACCAACATGCATCGAGGTCCCATCATAAATGTACCCTCAGAAACCACAACGGACCACAATGACATTGAGAAGATCGCAATGTTGACTCAATATTATTGACTCATGATACTGTTAAATGTATGCTTACTAGTGATGTCCTGAACGGTTCGCCGAACGGTTCGCCGAACAGTTCGCCGAGCGGTTCGCAAATGGTTCGCCACGGACTCATCATTGAGTAAACTTTGACTCTGTACCTCACAGTCAGCAGACACATTCCAGCCAATCAGCAGCAGACCCTCCCTCCCAGACCCTCCCACCTCCTGGACAGCATCCATTTTAAAGCTGCATTCTTAGTGAGCAGTCCAGTAGGTGGGAGGATCTGGGAGGGAGGGTCTGCTGCTGATTGGCTGGAATGTGTCTGCTGACTGTGAGGTACAGGGTCAAAGTTTACTCAATGATGAGTCCGCGGCGAACCATTCGGGACATCACTAATGCTTGCTAATGCAAGGATCCTATATAGCAAAATAGGGGAACTAGAGGCAATAGCATACAATAAACAATATGATATAATAGGCATAACAGAAACATGGTGGGAAGAGACACATGACTGGGCAGTTAACTTAAATGGGTACACGTTATTTAGGAAGGATAGAAAAAACAAGAAGGGTGGTGGGGTATGTTTGTATGTGAACCATGAGTTAAAGTCAAATCTTAAGCATGTGGAGTGTGACGAGAAAAATGTGGAAGCTTTATGGGTAGATATTTGCTTGGGGCAGACGAAGGGAAATCAATTATTGGTTGGGATATGTTATAAACCACCTAATGTAAATCTTAATAAGCAAGAACAACTGTTAGAGCAAATTGGGAAAGCTGCAAATTGGGGTAACACGTTAATTATTGGAAATTTTAATTACCCGGACATTAATTGGGATAAAGTGACTAGTATTTCAGCAAGGGGAATCAGATTTTTGAATGTGTTAAATGACACCTTCATGTCACAACTGGTACAAGCACCAACTAGAAAGGATGCTTGTCTGGATCTCATTATAACAAACAATGTTGATCTTTTGACCAACATTCAAGTAGGGGAGCATTTGGGAAATAGTGATCACAATATGGTAATTTTTAAAATAAAATAAAAAAAACAAAAGCACATGGGGTATACTAAAATATATAATTTTAAAAAAGCCAATTTCAATAAGATTAGGGCTGCTCTACAACATATCGACTGGCATAAAGTGAAAAAAAACTATTTAAACAAATATTAGAAAGGTAAATTTCTCAGTATGTACTATTGGGTAATAAATATAAAATAAACAAATTGAAACCAATGTGGCTTAGTAGAGAAGTAAAACAAGAGATTAAAATAAGAAAAGGGCATTTAAAGCATTTAAATCAGACAAATCAGAGGCATCCTATACAAGATATAAGGAAGCCAATAATACTTGCAAAAAAGGCAATTAAAGTGGCTAAATTAGAAAATGAGAAATTGATAGCTAAAGAATGCAAAACCAACCCCAATTAAAGTGTAGGTACAAAAAAAAAAAAACCAGAAAATTAAAGTGTAGGTACACTGGAAACAGATGGGTCTGTTAGTTAATGAAGAACAGGAAAAGGCAGACATTTTAAATAACTATTTTTCCTTCAGTATATATTAATAAGGATCCTATGGCAAGAGATATGCAAATGATTGCTGCAAAAAACTTGCAGATAACTTTTGATTGGATGACTCGAGACAAGGTGCTACAGCAGTTAAAGAAAATTAATGTAAATAAAGCTCCGGGGCCTGACGGTATTCACCCACGAGTACTTAAGGAGCTAAGTGGGGAAATAAGTGAACCTCTGTATTTAATCTTTCAAGATACTTTTGTTTCAGGTATTGTACCGGAGGATTGGAGGAAGGCAGACATCGTTCCTATATTTAAAAAAGGTTCAAAATCCTTGCCTGGAAATTATAGACCTGTGAGCTTAACTTCTGTGACAGGGAAAATATTTGAAGGGCTATTAAGGGACAATATTCAGGAATTCATTGGGAATAACTTTGTTATTAGCAATAATCAGCATGGTTTTATGAAACATAGGTCATGTCAAACTAACCTAATTGCATTCTACGAAGAAGTAAGTAGAAGTATAGATCAGGGTGTTGCAGTGGATGTGATCTACTTGGATTTTATCAACAGCAAAAACATATGTGAGGAAGGCTGAACATGATGGGCGCAAGTCTCTTTTCAGCTATGTAACTATGCAATGGTTTCCAAAGATATCACCAAGGGATTGGGTATGATCACACGTGGTGTTTTGGGGTAACTAGTTTCAAAAGAAAAGCCTCAGTAAATTCCTGCAGTTATGGTTATGATAAGTAAAAAAAACAGGTTTCAGAAACAGGAGGTCTAGGGTTATACAAAAACAAGATGGCATCGCTAGAAAAATAAAATATACAACTACTTCAGGTCAGCAAAACCGTTCAATATGAGACTAATACATTTTAAAGGTTATTAAATGATGAGAGAATTCTCAGGAATTCTAAATGAATTTCAAATTTAAGGGCAAAATTGTTCAAATGGAAACATTTTGGGGCGTAGCTTGCCTGCCATCTTGATCAGACGCCATCTCTGCTAGCTCTCCTGCAGCTCGCACAATCCAGCCAGATATATCCCCAACCAATACCCATCCAACTCCACACCCGGCTCCCCCTTCATCCTGAGGGTGAACGGATCCATTTAATGCCTTTCTTTCAGGCCCCAAAACAGCCCAGACAGAGGAGCAAGGCTGCAGCCTACTGCGCATATTTGGTGTGCCTGAGGGGGTGCTAGGCAGGTGCTGCTAGGCCTTGAGGCGCTGGGAGAGGAGTGAACTGCTACAGAGCAGCACCCGCCAAGCACCCCCTCTGGCACACCAAATATGAGCCGCAGGCAGAAATCTGCTACCACAACACCCAGTAGGGACATAGGGGAGATGCTAAAGAGGCCATCTGAACCTGCACAGGCAGAGCACCCACCAGACCCAGTCTCAGGCTTGGGCCTGGACTGCAGGGAGCCCAGCACCCCAGAGACCTCCCAAGCAGACCCAGCCTTACCTCCACGATCCCCCAACGACCCAGCTCCAACCACCAAACGTGATCTAAAGATTCTCCTTGCTGATATCCGAAAGCTGTTGGCAGCTGATGTCGCCATGGTTAAAATGGACATACAACAAGTGACAGACCATGTCAAACATGCAGAGGAAAACATAATTGATGTCTAAACTAACGTAACCAAGCTCAAGGACTCAGTAACACACCCAAAGCTGAACAACATGTGTTAACCGCCCAAATGATGTCCCTAGAGGACCGACATTGCAGAACGCATATCAAAATACAGGGAATACCTGCCACGGTAGAGCTGCCACAGTGCACCAGGTGCTTGTTATCTACAATCTTGCCACATGCAATAGCCAAGAAAATTGTCCTTGACGGGATCAACCGTGTAACTGGCACTGCATGCACTCAAACCACAGTGGCGCGAGATGCCATATTGCGCTATATGACTGTGCATGACAAGATACAAATCATGATGGCTCTGAAAGGCAAAACCCATTTGACTTTTGAGAACCCCAGCTATTGTACTTTCAAGACCTCACCAGCGCCACCTTACATTGATGCAAGTCCTTTGGACCAGTAACAAACTCACTGAGACAAGTGGGAATACCCTACAGATGGGGGCACATGGGATCTCTCTTGGTCCACCGCGAGGGGACTACTCATTCTCTCACATATATCAGGGGCATCTGCTTTTCTAGAGGCACGGGGACTGCCTTTACCACAACCACCATCCGCTGCGGGAAACTTCGTGGAATACTGGGATCCAGACGACATCACCCATGCGGTCTCGACTCACAAAGGCCTAAAGGCACAAATGTTTTAGTTTATGTTCCTTGTTTACTTTTGTTGATAATCCTTTAACCAAGCTTTACAGCCTTACACTAGTTCACATGTAGGGCGATGACCTTAGAAATATAACTAAATGCTGGAAGTGTTGCAGGACTACGCTGCTATGCGCTAAACTGCCATGATGACATTCAATACGCGACCCTAAGCATGACGGCCAAACCTCTCTCTTCTGTAGAGGGGCTTATATATCTACTCACGTTCCCGGCTCAAGCCCGACTGGCACCCTAGCCAAAAAGCACAACAGATACCGGCATCCTAAACTCACAAATGTTTCAGCAAGCCTCACAACTAGCCAAACCTCGTCTATCTCACTCCCACCTTGCTGGAACCACCAGACTAGCCTGCTAATACCCAGCCTGTAATATCCCGGGAACATAGCGAACATGGTTAATACCCAGCCTGGAGTATCCCGGGAAAATAGCGAACATGGTTAATACCCAGCCTGGAGTATCCCGGGAACATAGCGAACATGGTTAATACCCAGCCTGGAGTTTCCCGGGAACATAGCGAACATGGTTAATACCCAGCCTAGAGTATCCCAGGAGCATAGCGAACATGGTTAATACCCAGCCTGGAGTATACCGGGAACATAGCGAACATGGTTAATACCCAGCCTAGAGTATCCCGGGAACAAAGCGAACATGGTTAATACCCAGCCTGGAGTATCCCGGGAACATAGCGAACATGGTTAATACCCAGCCTGGAGTATCCTGGGAACAAAGCGAACATGGTTAATACCCAGCCTGGAGTATCCTGGGAACAAAGCGAACATGGTTAATACCCTTTTACACAGCTCATCGCTAGCTCAACCTGGATTTGTAGCCACACTTGTATTTTATAAAGGTAAAATGTGCTTTAACTTTTATTCATTGCTCACTTAGGTCTACCATACTGCTGTTTCCTATGGATGAACAAACCAAATGTATTTTCCAAGCTTATGTTACGCTTGCTTATTTTATCATCTCAAACCAAGCACGGAAAATAAAGAATTTTTAAAAAATTGGAAACAGTTTTCCAAATCAACTATGCTTCAAGTTCAGCTATTTTGTTCTAAACTTTTAAATTATTTTTCAGTTTACTTGGAATTCCCAATAATTCTCACTTTATAGAATACCATGCTGACAAATGTAAATCTTTTCTGTTGCAGTGCATGAACTCGTCAAAGAATCCAACAGATAGATGTAAAAAAACAAAACAAAATAAAAACAAAAGCTAAAACCTCCCATAGGGTACTCTTATAACATAAGAAAGAGTGTTTTGATGGGGGCTATCTCTGTCCTCAGACAAGGTACAACATCTCATGTCTCAGCGAATGCTGATCAAAACAGGGTAACGGACTGGATCCAGTAACAGTAACAGCATTTAACAGATCAAATAAACTGCTCAGCCCGTGACGCCACATATTACAACAAATTATAAAGCAATTATGTCATACATTAAATAATACTCACACAGCACACAAAGTCTATGCATTATATCCTTAGATTTGTCACGGGATCGTAACTGTTGCTATCGGTATACACCATGGGCTTTTCTGTACTTTTTTCTTTTTTTAAAAATTTCAATAAACAAGGATTATCTACTATTCTAAGTCAAGTTACCCACAAACACCTGTTAAGTAAATAATCTCCTAAATGACTTAATTAATTAATTTTAGAGTCATGTATTCATGTAATGTATTGTTTTCTTTGAGCTTAATAATTAAACTGAACTGTTGTTAGTATTCCGGATCAGCAGCTGATAATCTTTTTGGTAAACCTTAATTTATTGAACAGACCTGTGAAAAAAATTCATTATGAGGACAAATCTCTTTGAGTGACACGTATGGTGGATTTAACTAATCTGATACGGCAGATGGATAACAGGACTGGATGGGGTGATTACATTGTCAGAGACATCAATACAGGCTGGTAATGTACCTCCAACAAGGATTCAGATTCAGGAGATATGGGTTAATGGGAGGAGTTATAGGGAGAAGTTATATGGAGTAATAGGAGGATTTATAGAGAGAGGATATATGGAGTAATAGGAGGAGTTATGGAGAGAGGTTATATGGAGTTATATGGAGAGGGTATATAGAGTAATAGCAGGAGTAATAGGGAGAGGTTATATGGAGTAATAGGAGGGGTTATATGGAGTAATATGAGGAGTTATAGGGAGAGGGTATATAGAGTAATAGCAGGAGTAATAGGGAGAGGTTATATGGAGTAATAGGAGGGGTTATATGTAGTGATAGGAGTTATTTGGAGAAATTATATGGAGTAATAGGAGGAGTTATATGGAGAGTTTATATGGAGTGATGGTGGAGTTACAGAGAGAGGTTATATGGAGTAATAGGAGGAATTATAGAGAGAGGTTATAGCGCATAATCTGAGGAGATATAGGGAGATGTTATATGGAGTAATAGGAGGAGTTATAGAGAGAGGTTCTATGGAGTAATAGGAGGAGTTATAGAGAGAAGTTATATGGAGTAATAGGAGGAGTTATAGAGAGAGGTTATAGCGAGTAATTGGAGGAGGTATAGGGAGAGATTATATGGAGTAATAGAAGGAGTTATAGGGAGAGGTTATATGGAGTAATAGGAAGAGTTATATGGAGAGGGTATATAGAGTAATAACAGGAGTAATAGGGAGAGGTTATATAGAGTAATAGGAGGGTTTATATGGAGTAATATGAGGAGTTATAGAGAGAGGTTATATGAAGTGATAGGAGGAGTTATTTGGAGAAATATGGAGTAATAGGAGGAGTTATATGGAGAGTTTATATGGAGTGATGGTGGAGTTACAGAGAGAGGTCATTTGGAGTAATAGGAGGAGTTATAGAGAAAGGTTATAGCAAGTAATCGGAGGAGTTATAGAGAGAGGTTATAGCGAGTAATCGGAGGAGATATAGGGAGATGTTATATGGAGTAATAGGAGGAGTTATAGAGAGAGGTTATATGGAGTAATAGGATGAGTTATAGAGAGAGGTTATATGGAGTAATAGGAGGAGTTATGGAGATAGGTTATATGGAGTTATAGGGAGAGATTATAAGGAGTAATAGGAGGAGTTATAGGGAGAGGCTATATGCAGTAATAGGAGGAGTTATAGGGAGAGGTTATATGGAGTTATAGGGAGAGGGTATATAGAGTAATAGGAGGAGTAATAGAGAAAGGTTATATGGAGTAATAGGAGGGGTTATATGGAGTTAAATGAGGAGTTATAGGGAGAGGTTATATGTAGTGATAGGAGGAGTTATTTGGAGAAATTATATGGAGTAATAGGAGGAGTTATATTGAGAGTTTATATGGAGTAATAGGAGGAGTTATAGAGAGGTTATATGGAGTAATAGGAGGAGTTATAGAGAGAGGTTATATGGAGTAATAGGAGGAGTTATGGAGAGAGGTTATATGGAGTTATAGGGAGAGATTATATGGAGTAATAGGAGGACTTATAGGGAAAGGATATATGGAGTAATAGGAGGAGGTATAGGGAAAGGTTATATGGAGTAATAGGAGGAGTTATAGGGAGAGGTTATATGGAGTAATAGGAGTGTCGGCTGTGGTCTGGTTGGTGCATGGGATGAGCACTAAATCCCGTACCTGCACCTTTGCATATGATGTTGGAGTTTCTCACATGCATGTTTGAGTCAGGGAAGGCATATCGCACCATCAATTTGTTCCGTTCAGCTATTTCGGCGGGACATCGTGGCATAAATGGCTCACCGGTCGGGAGACATCCTTTCGTGTGTCGTCTCCTCAAGGGGATTCACCTTACTCGACTGCCTAAAGCTAGGTTCTATGCCTTTTGGGACGTCAATGTGGTGTTACAGTTCTTGACATTTTGGTATCCGAATCGGGATATTATGCTTAAGAAACTGCCCGCTAAGTTGGTGATGTTGTTCTGCCTGATTTCCTGCAAGCGAGTGTCAGATGTCAGGGCACTTGATTGGGATGCTGTTACATTTACCCCGGAGGGTATCTCCTTTAATATCTCCAGAAGAACAAAGTCGGCCTCAAAATCCTTTGTTTACCCTAGGTTCCATGGTGTTTCGTCACTCTGCCTGGTGGAATGTCTGCAGACATATCTGGATGCTACTCGAACCCTGCGTTCACTGGATCTTCACCCTTTGTTCGTTTCCTTCCGCACTCCTCACCTCCCGGTGTCGACTCCTACGTTGGCGCATTGGGTTCGTTGGCTGTTATCTTTGGCTGGAATTGACACGTCGATTTTTACGCCCCGTTCTGTTTGGGGAGCCATGGCATCTGAGGCTTCAGTGGTTGGTTGTCGTCTAGAGGATATTCTACGGGCTGCTGATTGGTCACGGGAATCGACTTTCCGTGATTTCTACTTCAGACCGATTGATCACATTGCATCTCAAGTGATGGCTCAGCTTTGAACTTGCATAATAGAAGCCTCCGTGACTTTAATAAAATTCCCAGATTTTACTATTGACATGACGTAAAGTTTCGGATTTGTTTGTTCCTTGTATATGTTTTTTGGTTAATTTTATGGATTTATTCATGATATGTTTGTTTATTAATTGTGTATTCTGTTTTTATAGGTTTGAATACCTGGGCTCGATATTGATAGATTTGTTTGTGTGAGTATTCCAGTTAGAGTTTGGGAATTACCATATTTTTTCTGTACCCCCCTTTAGCTTGAAGTTATCGTTCCAATCTGGTTTCCTGTTGGTTCCGGTGGCTTAGTTCGGTTTGTGGTTTCTGGTCTTCGGTTTTTCATAATAAAGAGGGGGATCTTGGGAGACACAAGCATTTTATAGTCACTTCCTCTGTTATGTGATTGGTTGCTTGTGTTACTATAAGAGTTTTTTCAGCTCATTTTGATATATTTATATTCCTCTCTATCTTTGCTGCACAGGGAATAAAGAAAGAGTTTTGCATAATACTCGCCTTCGTGTCTTTAATAAAATCATGACTTTACATCATGTCAATAGTAAAATCTGGGAATTATGTATTTCAATTTAGCTGAAAAACAGAATTAGCAAATAACGCTTTGAAAAGCATGTCATCGATTCCTGGGTAAACTTCACCTGGATACTTTAAGTTTATCCTGCCATGCTTGTTTGCCTCTAATACCCTGGATAAGGATGTGTTTATCCTGGTATCCTGCCTTCACGATTACCTATACTTAGCTGGTAACGTCTACAAACACAAAATAATGAATCATATTTTTAGGCAATACATGTATATTAGTTAATAACCATTAGAATAAGTATCACTAAGTGATAATAACTAACAGACACATTTATTAGAATATAATAAGATATGATGGGAAGTTTAACTGATGATATTTAAAGCTAATGATCTTCATAGAAGACAGCATATAAAGGGTTAAGTGTTACACAGTGAGTCCAGCAGCGCCTTCTCTATGACACAGAGCTGGGAAAGGCAGATAATATACTAGCCAATTAAATTGTTTAATTTTGTACCACTCACTGGAATACATTGAATTAGATGTCTATGAGACCCCTGACTTTTTACTTAATAAATTAGAACACTTGATTTTGCATACAGACATGCTATCCGTGTGAACTCATTTCTACTGCAGGCTAGATGACTGTCAAAGATCACCGCGACCTGTCCTGCTCAGACCCAGGTGTAAGAAGGCCAACAGGTGAATCAGGAGTACCTTCTAGTTACTAATCTCTAAAAGTTAGTTGCGCATCATGGGAAATGTAGTCCAGAAACAATTTATGGTGTCAAGGTTAGCCATCACCTACTAGGAATTTGGTCCTACAATTATGGTGACAGAGTTGGGATGGACATCTACAGTGATTGGTAAGTATAGGGAAGTTGCTTTGAATATTCTTATAGCAATCCTGTTCATGTCCATAATTTGTGGGTCTATCTGATATCACTGTATAGAGTATAAGTGGTGTTGAGGTCATCAGTTGAATATTCCCTGTTTTGGACCCTTCTGGGAAAAGGCTGACGGTAACCAGTCCCCCTAGCAAGAGAACATCAAAACCATGTACAGGGTCCCCACAATCGGATTTAAGTCTCCGATATTTGTGCAGGCTGAGAGGGCAGAATGCTAAAATATCTTGACAGTATCCATATGTTTTTAATAAGTAAATGGTACCAATAATTGCTTACTAATGTGTTTGTAATCCTGATGATTTCACAAAATATAAATCGCACATGAGATTGTTGTTTAGATGTAAACAGCGTACAAGAGCTATTGTTTTTGCTTTTCCTATATATTTGGTGTTGCCACCAGGCACTCCGCGCGTGATAATATTTGATTCACGAGTAAGGCTGATGGGATCAAGCGATTGAATTTCTGATATTTTTAGGTTTTGTGTAAACAAATGTGTAAGGTGTTTTGCATAGTATTGTGTGCTTAGTTTATTGGTGGCAATATACATACCCTCTGCCCAAGAATTGGCAATGTGCCAGCTCTATACGGACAAAACTCGTTTCATCTTTTTTGCAATCTTAAAATACTTCTCCAGCTCGCTCTTCTGAACAGATTGCAGCAAGTTGTCCACAGGAAGGTGGTTGGCCAACTAGGGTATTAGGTGTAAGACTCCCGGTGATTGTAAGAACAATATTAACTTGGTGTCAGAGAATAGTGGGTCCATGTTTTTGAAGAATTGGTAAGTTAGTGTCACGGTAGTGTACCCTAACACGCAAGATTTAGTCCAACAAGAGACAAGATAAAGAAGATACGTCTTACCGGGCCTTAGAATGGCTGGACTCAACGTAGTACAGAGAAGTGACAGAGTCAGGAACGAGCCGAGGTCAAGGGAACAGCGAGACAGCGAAAACAAGAACTAGCCAAGGTCTGGTACACAGGAGTCAGGAAGCCGGCAAACAAGACAAAGCAGGGATAAAGAGAAAAATTGAGTCAGGTACAAAGCCAAGGTCAAGCACGAAAAAAACACTACTGAACGATACAAGCACTAAAGGGAACTGAGGCAGAAACCACAATAGGGCAGGGAGCTAAGGGAAAGGTGAGTATAAATACCCTAGTGTTCAATTTGATTGGCCACTGTCATATCCACGCCCCCAAAACGTGAGTGTATGGGGAATGTGGAATGACGTGGGCCAATGGGAGACCGTTTTACATTTCGGCTCCCACTGTCCCTTTAACAGCACGCTCTTAGAGCCAGGCGAGTCACGTGACCACGTCTCGCGGTCAATGCCCACCTTCCTGATAACGCCGTCAGACAAGCCGCACGGGGCTCGTGCAGATGCAGGACCGCATGCGGCGGGAACAGAGGACCTCGGCCGGCCTCCGGAGAGGGTAAGTACCGCTACAGTTAGACACCTTTTGTTTGCACCAAATCTGCTCAGATCCTTCATTACCAAAGATCAGCTGTGTGGCAGCTTCTGCTTTTTCTGGATTCCAGTGTCCTGGGCCCTTCTCCGGGGGTACCCTCGTGTTGGACACATGGTTGTTTAGGAGGGTATCTGGTATTTCCTCCTTGGTCAGTAATCTCAAAATCTGTGTAGGGGAGAAAACCTTACAGCAAACGCTGGTCTATTGCGGGATGTAAATCATCCTACAATAGACCCGTTTATAAGATATTTCCTTGTTTTGTCCCTTGCTGTTCTAGACTCTGCGTGTTGGGGTATTACATTGTGTCATATAACAAAGAAATCTGATACAATCACATCACTTTCCTTCTCCTCCCGTTTAGTTTAAATCAACAGTTCAAAAACATTTAGTAGAGTGTGGAAAGAATATTCAGATACATTAAATAATTTTGGGGGTAGAGCCGAACCTTCAAGCGAGATAGACGTGTGTTGCATGGGCTCCCATCTATTCTGCTGACTTTTGGGTGAAATAACCAGATGCTGAGATGACAAATCTACCAGGCGTATTCTTTCTGGTTGGGACACTCAGCAGTTGTTGTCAAGACCACAACCAAGAATTTAAACCTCAGGGAGCCCGCATTGAACAAGTGACTAAATTGGGGAGAGGCAGACGCTCTTCTCGCTCATACTACAACAAGCAACACCACTTAACTCCCCTCCTCCCTGGACCGATGGGGGATATTCCGGTCCCCACTGAACTGTCTCCAGTAGCTTCAGGGACTTTTTAACACTTGTGCCTGACTGACAAATTAGCGCAGCAACACCTTACAAGATAGTGGATGCTCTGTTCTCTGAGAAGCAAGGACTGTCTCAACCCCAGAGGGCTCAGCAAGACTCCACTGTGGGCTCCCTGACACGGCTCGATGCAAACTTTGCACGCTTCTGGGTTAAGCTTGAGGATCGGGCAACTGCCTCTTTGACCAAAACTCGGAAGGAAGTCCAGAGGAGAAAGCTGCAAGGTGAGGACTGTTATAGATCTAATATTGATCTTTGTTATATTCAGGGGAACCCAAATTGTATCAAGTGCACTTGGAAAAGCGTTAACTAGACACCAGACACGTGTTGGGTATCAAAATAAGCCTCTGACGGTTATTCTATCAGTTTGTGCTTTTATACATTAAAAAGTAAGGGCTTACGTGCAAATATTTATAGAACAGTAGAAGGAAGGGAGTGAAATAACAGGGAAGGAGTACAGATAAGACATAGGGATGAACGCCATGTACCTATAACAGATACATTCTGGGAAAGAGAAGGGACAGACTGATTTAGGAGAGACAGCTCCGGTGGGGGCTATCTGCTCCCGGAACTAGACATATATGGTCTTAAGTGTCGTTTTGAGCATTAAGCATTTTCTGAGTCCAA